CCTGCTGAGCCAACAGCTTGCAGCAGCCAAGATGCCACTAACCACCCTTCCCTGCAGGATTGCGGCGAGCTCTGCCTCTGGTCACTCCCCCCTGTCCCCTGCACCTCCCTCCCCAAGCGACACTCAGCAAGGCAGTCCTCAGCAGGGACAGTCACGCCAGGGACAGGCCCACTCAGGTCCACAGTCCTAGGGAGGCTTCGGAACCTCAGATGTTTGTTAGAAAATTCCAGTCACATGGAGTCTTTCATGCTACTCACAAATACACACACACACACACAAACACACACACACACACACTCCACTAGTCTTCCATGAGGCCTGCGGCTTTGATGTTGATTGGGAATTAGGAAATTAACCTAATAACAGGTTAATTTCTGCACAGCAACGCCTGTTCCTATTCTACTCCCAGCATCACCGATGGTCAGCAGGGCACATGGTCCACTGCCCAAAGCCCAGCCTAAGGTTCCAGTGCAAGGATTGAATGACATCATCTTGGAACACGACCAAAGAGCCTCCCAGGTCATGTAAACCATAGAAGCCAGGGGTAGGGGCTTAAGGGGAGAAGGAATTAAGACAGTATGGTATTATCAGAAGGACAGACCTACAGACCAAGAGAAGAGAACAGAGCCTCCAGAAAAGACCCACAGCGGCTTGATGACAAAGATGCCAGGTCTAAACTGCTACGCTGTATGATGCCATGAGCATGAAGTTCAGGAGGTCAGTGAGGGAGAAGGTGCTGCCCGGTGACAGAAGTCAGAACAGCGGTGGCTCTGGGGGCAGTAAGAAGTGTGTGGACTCTGAGGGGGAGTGAGGGGCCTAGCAGGGGGCTAGAAATGGCTTGTGTCTTTGCGCAGCTGGTGAGTACATGCAATGTCCATATGACAAATCATGGAGGTGTTCCACGAAGACCTGAGACATCATGTAAATTACCTTCCCTCCCTGAGTCTCTGATTTTTCATCCCTAGAATGGAGACAAGACCTCCTTCCCTCCTAAGATTGTGACACAGAATGAGCCTGGCACCCAGAGTCAGGCAGTGGGTAAACATCAATGGTCAAAGGAGGTAAAAGAGAGAAAGGGCAAGCCACAGGGATGATGTAACAATGAAAACAGCAACAACCATCAACTAGATACCAATCTGGAGCTTTAGCCATGCACTAGGAGGGTGAACCTAGTGCTCTAGAAAATGGAACAATGCTTGTATGAACTTGATGTGAGCTAGAGAGAGGAGGGCTGCATTCGGATGGTGCCCTGGGAGCAGGCAAAGGTTCCATCAATGTTCCAACTCCTTCTTCGAGGAGTTATTGGTGTGGCTGGCAGCCAGCTGGACTCAATTTCCCCTGCAGCCCCCGGCAGAGATGCCTGGGACGGGGATGGAGAAGGTGGAGGAGAAAGGACTCGGAACTCATGCTAACCTGGCTTCGGCTCTTGACTGTCCCTGCTAGCTCTGTGATGTTGGGCAAGCTATTTAACCTCTCTGAGCTTCAGCTTCTCATCTAGAAATGGGATTAATGAGATATCCTTAACGGGGCATCTGTAAGGAGTATATGGCATCTGTAAGGATTATATGTTGTCACATGTTTGGTACATATTAGTTGCTAATAAAAAGCAGAGACATTACTTTGTCAACAAAGGTCTGTCTAGTCAAGGTTATGGTTTTCCCAGCAGTCATGTATGGATGTGAGAGTTGGACTATAAAGAAAGCTGAGCACAGAAGAATTGATGCTTTTGAACTGTGGTGGTGGAGAAGACTCTTGAGAGTCCCTTGGACTGCAAGGAGATCCAACCAGTCCATCCTAAAGGAAATCAGTCCTGGGTGTTCATTGGAAGGACTGATGTTGAAGCTGAAACTCCAATACTTTGGCCACCTGATACGAAGAGCTGACTCATTTGAAAAGACCCTGATGCTGGGAAAGATTGAGGTCAGAAGGAGAAGGGGATGGCAGAGGATGAGATGCTTGGATGGGATCACCGACTCAATGGACATGAGTTTGGGTAAACTCCAGGAGTTGGTGATGGACAGGGAGGCCCGGCGTGCTGCAGTCCATGAGGTCGCAAAGAATCGGACACGACTGAGCGACTAAATTGAACTGAACTGAGCTGCTAATAATAATTATTGCTATTGCTTTTCCCAGACCACTCTGATATCAGCCTGTCAGACTTTGCACGTTCACAGAAAATAAAAACACTCTACTCCAGCCTTGCCTCATAGAGGTCAACCCAGGGCATGAGGCTGGCTTAATTTGTCTGCTAATTCATAGGGTGTCCACCAGAGTCTGCTCTGCACAGAACGCCGGCCTTATCTGCAAAGCTGATTCAAGAGGGTTGGAAGTAGAAGCTGTCAAGCCCAGGCCCCCAGAGGACATCACCCAGCCCCAACTCCCACCAGCCACCTCCAGCCTTCTCCCAGGTAGCCTCACTCAGCCAGGAGCAAGCAATTACATCAGAGTACATCTCGGTGTGCACTTTGAAAATCAAAGCTGCCTCTGATTAAACACCATCACAGCTCTGGGCTCACTGGACCCCAAAAGATGAACAGATTCAGGCGTCTAGCTAGCACGAGAAGCCCACTGATGCTGGCAGGAAGTGAATTCCAGTAACCTGAAGCCCTTTGGGTCTGCCCTACTCAGCAGGCAGAGACCCTTTAAGACTGTTCAGGATAAGTAAGAGGTGACCTCCCCTCTCCTCCTTCCTGGAGCCAAAGACTCTGTACTCAAGGGTCCTGGTGGACAAGGGACAAACAACCCCTGGCTAGAGGCAGGGATGTACCCCCATCCCAAACAACGGTGAGAGAGAAAGGCGAGCAGGTCTCACCGCACCCTCCTCTGCGGGAGCGCTGCCCAGACACCCTCCAGCAAACAGTGAGGGCAGCAGGCGTCAGAAGCCCCGAGCACTGCTCCTGTGGAGTGACCCCAGGAGAGCCCTTTGCCTCTGGGCTTCTGACTATCTCTAAAGCAGAGGTCTGAACTGGAACAGGAGTGTTCTCAAGGAAAGCCCAACAGGCAGTTCACAACGGCCAAGCTGCCCCCCGGTTAAGCAGGGCAGGCAGTAGGGAGGCCCCTCCAGCCTCCTCGCCAGCCCAAGAGGCCCCCCAAAGCATGCCGGGAGCCCTGTTTCCTAAGTCGGGCCAACGGTTGTCCCCTGGAGGTCAAGGCCAGCTGTGGCTCACCTTTCCCAGCCATGCTCTTGGCAGCCTCTCCTTTTATGAACTTCCCTGGTGGCTCAGAGGGTAAAGCATCTGCCTGCAATGCAGGAGACCTGGGTTCAATCCCTTGGTTGGGAAGATCCCCTGGAGAAGGAAATGGCAACCCACTCCAGTATTCTTGCCTGGAGAATCCCATGGATGGAGGAGCCTGATGGGCTACAGTCCATGGGGTCGCAAAGAGTAGGACAGGACTGAGCGAAGATTTCACTTTCAGTTTTTATGAACCAAGAGGAGTCCTGGAGTCAGAGAGACATGGGTTTCAACCCTAACTCTATGAACTGTGTGACCTCAGGCAACATACCTTCCTTCTCTGAGTCTCTGATGCCTCATCTGCAAGACGGAGGCATGCAGGCCTCCCTTCCGAGATGTTTATGGCACAGGGCGTCAGGCATTCAGCAAACAGGAACGGTAAGAGGAGACACGGGATAAGGGAGGAAAGGACAAGCCCAAAAGGTGAGGACAATGATCTCGCTACCACGCTGGAGGGCTCAGCACACACCAGGCACTGTTCTAAGCACGGCGGTGCACAAACCTGTGGTCATCACATCTGTATTAGAGACAGAGCTCTCATCGTCCCCGCTGACGGAGGCCACACCGGCACCGAGGCCTGGGCTCCCAGGCGGCACGCTCTCCGGCCATGCCCCTTGCCTCGTCTGCGGAGCCGGCTTCGTCTGGGCCGTCCCCCCACGGACACCCTAGGCTCACCTTTGTGGGTCGCCTGGGAGAGAGCAGGGAATAGCATTCACTTCTACTGCATCTGGTTCTCCCGTGCATTCCTTCCCGTCACCAGCCACGTGGGGCATGTCACGGCACCCCTCACCCTTCAGGGACTCCCCAGTCCCCGCACCATCTGCCTGCAGCCTTGCAGAACCTCACCACTCCTCTCCCCTTCCTTGCAATACCCCTCTGCTCCCACAACTCTGCCAGAACCCTGAGACGGACGCACGCACGCGTACACACACACACACACACACGTCTGGCAAATCCCCACTCAGATGGCTGGGGAAGCCAACTCAGGGCAGAGGTGAGCACTTTTTCCATGCGGCTCCCTGGGGATGGGCTCACACCCCTCACTGCCTGAAGGATGGCGCTAAGGATGTAGTTGTGTGACTCCAGCGCTGGGCTGGGAACTCCTCAACAAAGGGAACTGTGTCTGCTTCCCCTCTGAGCCCACCCACCTCGCACAGAGTAGGGGCTATACAATGATGAATTCTGGTGAAAGGGTTCCACCCTCCACCCCTATCTGTGGGACCCCGTGGTGGCCAAGAAGAAGGAAATGGGGTCCAGGCCCCCAGCCCACCAGCCAGGGCTCCCTGAAGGCCGGCGGGTGGCAGGTGGGAGACAGAAGCCCTTCTGTGTTCAGCGACAGGCTACTCGTCGGCTCCGGCTGTGTCCTTTCTGCCTGATACCTGGAGACCCGCAGAGGGCAGGGAGAGACAGGAGGTGTGTCCAGGCCCCGCAGGACGGAAGATTAAGTCCTGAGAGTCTGCACCACTGTTCTCGGGCTTCTGTAAGCTGTGGGGCTCGGACGACACAAGACAGATGGTGATAATCCCCTGTTCAGGCAAGGGCTGCAGGAGGGGCCCAGCGCGTGCCCACACCCCGCTGCCCGCTGCCAAGCCCGGCTCAGGAGATGGGCGGAGGGCTGCCCTAGAGCACCTGGAAGGCTGCTTCATGCTCCAGAGATTTAATAACTCTTCAGAAAAGACAGGCCCCACTTCCAGGCCGTGAGACCTCTCCGGGACACACCTGCCCTCGCCAGAGAGCCCCGCCTGCAGCAGAGTGCGCTGGACTCACCTCGTTGACGTCAATCTTGTTCCGCTCCATGTAGTGTCTGTCGTTGACCTGCCCGCCATCCACAAACTCCATCAGAAGCACCCGCTTGGTGGACAGCTCCCAGTAGATGCGGGGGACCTGGAGTGGGAAAGGGCAGGTCAGGAGGGGCCAGGAGGCTGGGGGTTCTGGGCAAGGGCTACAGATAGGCACGTGGGCCGGACATCAGCTCACATGCCTTCCAGGAAGAGGAGGGAAGGCCCAGAGGGACCCCGGCAGAGACGGGCAGGGAAGGCAGGAGGCAGGCCGGGAAAGAAGGGCAGGCTACTCTGCCTCCCCCAGCAGGGCCCCAGGCCTCCTCCAGGGACCCTCCTGCTTGGGGACCAGAGAATAAGCCCCCACATTCTTCAGCGTCTTCCAGACACAATGAAGAGCACATATGAAAATTGGGGCTTAGGGAGAAATACATGGAACCTCTCAGATCCAAGCCACAGTTGGGGTTAAAAGCTATTTCTCTCTCACCAGGCTTATTTCAGGCTCCTCATGTGAATATAAACACTCTGCCTCAGTTTCAACACCTGTACAATTTCAATACCTGTACAATGGGTGTAATTATTATATATGTGAATGACTGAATGAATAAATTTTAGCTGGGTGATAAATTTTCAGTTAGGAAGTCCTGAGTTTTCTCATTACCATTCCCTGCAAGCCTTCTGTGGTAGACAGTGTGCTGAAGCCTAACCCAACACCTATTCCCAATCCTCCTCTTCCCAGGAAAAATGAAATATTTTCCCTGCCTGCTTTGCAGTAGTTATGGCCATGTGACACAGTTCTGGCTTGTGAGTCACAAGTGGAGGTCTGCTAGAGGATGTGGGAAGGCTTTTACTTTCTTAATAAAAAGGGATGTTTATAAATATTGTAACTCTTCTTACCCTTCTCTTCCTACCTTGAGAGTGAAGTGATACCTGGAGCTGCAGCAGCTGTTTTATAACCATGAGGAAAATTCTAAGAAAATCACAGAGATGACAGTTCTGACACTGTCAGACTGCTGAGACAAAACCAACAGGCAACTGCTACAAGTCTTCCTGATATGTGAGGAAAATACATTCTTTTTGTTTAAGACACTCTAGATGGAGCTGTCAGTTATGTACAAACAGATGCATTCCTAACTGATACACTCCCTAATCCCCTCTGATTCTAAGGACACCCAATAACCAAAAAGATACTAGACTTCCCTAGAAGTAGCCAAGACATTGGGCTGCACAAAGGACTGCCGAGTTGCCATGTGAGCGAGTGACACCTATGAGGCCCACCAATGTCAGGAGGGAGGAAGCACCTGGCTTTCAGCATGCCACAATTTCCCCAACAACTTAATGGACTTATTCCACTTATAAACAAAGAAGCAAGGGCAGCTAATTCAAGTGATTAGGGAGAATCATTCCAACTCTCAAAGCTCACGTAGCAGTAAGATAGTAGGCTTGAGCCAAGAAACTTTTTTTGTTCCCCACTCTACTAACAACTGTTGTGTTTGAATCTAGCCACTTAAATCCTCAATGCCTCAGTTTTTCTCATTAAAAAGGAGACTGGGGGATTTCCCCTGGTGGGCCAGTGGTTAAAAGTCTGGGCTCCCAATGCAGGGGGCACAGGTTTGATTCTTGGTCAGGGAACTGAGATTCTGCATGCCATGGGTGTGGCCAAAATAAATTTAAAAAAAAATAAAAGGAAGGAGACTCTATCTGCTCCATCTCAATAAGGAGTTCTGGGGGTGAAGGGGCCCGTACATATAGGAGAACCCTCTGGAACAAAGGTTCCCACTGAAACCAAAGCATCATTTTGTTTACTCCTTTCCTGCAGTTTTTGCCATTTGAAAATCTAGACCAATAGAGAAATCTATGACCCTATGTCACTTTGAACTTAAAATTCGGTCTCGCTTGGCATTTTTTTAAAAGTCTCTTTAAAAATACGAGTGCAAATTTGCTGCTACTGTTTGAAAGAAAGTGAAAGCAGCTCAGTCACGTCCAATTCTTTGAAATCCCATGGACTGTAGCCTGCTAGGCTCCTCTGTCCATGGAATTCTCCAGGCAAGAATACTGAAGTGGGTAGCCATTCCCTTCTCCAGGGGATCTTCCCAACCCAGGGATCAAACCCAGGTCTCCCACATTGTGGGTGGATTCTTTACTAGCTGAGCTACCAGGGGAGCTGCTGTTTGAGGCTTCCAAGTAAAAGGGACATACTTGGGGGTTAAATCTTTTCCCTGGTTTGTCTGGGGCTGAAGCTTGACAGTGGAGTGCCTAGGGCTCCAGAGACTTGCGGTCAGACACCCCTCTGTGCCTGCCTGGAGCAACGTGGAAAACAGCCATGCAACAGCCAGAGATGCAAAGAGAAAACCCCAAGGCTGGAGACTGCCTGGGCTTGTTGGTCAGGGTCCTGAGTATGCTGGGTCTCCCTCCAAATGCAACCAACCCAGCCTCACAATGGAATGTGGGTCTGCGGAGGCACTGCTTAGCTCTGAAACAGCAGAGACAGCACCCACCCCCGCTGCCAGAAAAAAAGCAAGGCAGAGGGGTTTGTCATGGGAGCTCAGGGAGGGCTGCGGTTGCCCCTCGATGGGTATAACACAGAAATGACTGCAAAATGCAAAAGTGCTTCCTGCTCAGTTAGGAGACACTTGGCCTGACAGGAGATACAAGATCAAGAGACTTGCCCCTAAATCAGCACGTGAGCAGGAGGGTTAAGGGGTGCCAGGTGAAATTCACTTCACCCTAACACTCATGTTTCACCACCATTCCTTTCTCAGCTTTTTCCATCAAAGAAGGGAAAAAGAAGGAGAAAATTTTTGAAAGAGGCAGTAAGAACCACCCTGTCCCCTGCCCAAACAAAAATCAACCTGAGAGGCTTACAGTCAAGGTGTCTGTTGACCCCAGAGGCAGGGTCACGCCCGGCCCTCAGGACCTCTGGGTCTGGGGGTCTACCTCCTCACGGCAGGGCAGAGGGCCCACTCCCATAGGCTCCATCTGCCCCCATACCAGAGCCAATCCTGATACCAAGAAGAACAGAGAGTAGGGCAAGCTCCAGCCCAAGACTTTGGCCTCAGCCTCATTAACAGGCCCTGACCTGCGCTTCCTCTTTGTTCCCACACCTGGGAAGCAAGTCCTGGCATGTCTGGGCCAGCACCCATCATCTGGGGCCACGGACCTCCCCAGACCTGAGGCCAGTGGAGCAGGCACAGACAGTGCAGTCAGACAGTGAGGCTGGAGCCCCAGCTCTGCCTCTGCCAAACTGTGTGACTTGGGTAAGTTGCATAATCTCTCTGAGCGCCGGTTCCCTCGCCTGTAAAAGGCTGATGACAATTACAATGAAAGCAACGTTCCCTGCTTCCTACAGGCACGGATGAGGTCCTGGGGGCTCAACACGGCAGCCGCCATACGATAGCCACAGAGAATTTCACAGGTGGTTCTGACACAGATCCAGGGCCGAGAGTTGATGCTACAGACAGTGCAGCATGACTCAGATTGCTGTGATTGTTTTGTGAAAGTCGCTCAGCCGTGTCCAACTCTTTGCAACCCCCATGGACTATACAGTCCACAGAATTCTCCAGGCCAGAATACTGGAGTAGGTAGCCTTTCCCTTCTCCAGGGGAATCTTCCCAACCCAGGGATTGAACTCAGGTCTCCTGCCTGGCAGGTGGATTCTTTACCAGCTGAGCCACAAACTCGGATCTCCCCATTAATTATTCCAGAGGAACCAGAGCACAGTGGTTTACCAGGGGAGCTTGGGGCCAGGCTGCCTCTGCCCCTTACCAAGAAGCTGTGTGACTTCGGACGAGTGGCTCCATCTCTCTGGGCCTCATTTTCCCCAAGGCTGACATGGAATTAATAATGGCATTTCCCTTGTGGGGTTGTGTAAGGATTAAAGAGGAAATATACAGGGACTTCCCTGGTGGTCCAGTGGTTAAGACTCCACACTTCCAATGCAGGGGTCAGGGGTTTGATCCCTGGTTGGGGAACTAGGATCCCACATGCTGCATCCCATGGCCGAAAAAGAGGGAACCAAAGAGTAAATAGACATAAAGCACTTTAAAAAACATCTAACACAGCATAGACATGTAAAAAAAAAAAATTAACTGATACAGTACTAATAACTAGACATCACTTCCTCTTAATCTTTGACATCCTTAGAAAGCTGTTTCACCAGAAGCAAGCTCATCCTGGCAGGGTTTACCCCCAGTTTCGACAGAGTCCCAGGCCCCGTGTGTGATCAGTTGCTCAGTGGTGTTCAACTCTTTGCAACCCCCCATGCACTTGGCAATACCCACCAGGATCATCTGTCCATGGCATTTCCCAGGCGAGAGTACTGGAGCGGATTGCCATTTCTCCTCCAGGAGATCTTCCCAACCCAGCACTAGAGAACCCTGGAGGGGCCCCTGCTCCAGAGACAGCGCCCCCACCAAGCCCCTCCTCTACATATAAAGACTTGCTCCCATCCCTTGCAGTCCCAAACCCTGTGTTTTAAAGCGTCTGCCTCTATCTTGGCCCAGCTGTCCCCAAGGTCAGTCGCAGACCTCACTGCCTGTCCTGTCACCTCCCCACACACTCTGATGCCAGATCCACAAACGCCCTGGTCTTGACCGTTAGGCCTGGCTGCCCCCTCACCTTGGCCCAGTTGCCCTGACGTGCATTTGCACTTGGTGCTCTTTGAGGTGAGGCGGTTTATAGCACAGGGCTGAGGTTATTAAACCCACTGGAAGAGGCCTCACACACCTAGAGGTAAACTCTGTGCTGAGGCTTAATTACGCACAGATGTTGTGATGGGTGCCAGGGTGCAAAAGCAATCTATCTCCTGTTTGAAGAGCTGAACTGGGCGCACGGCGCAAAATTTGCTTCCCACTTGTTATGTGTTTAGGCAAAATTAATTACTCGGGAGCCTTAATTCCACCATTCTCTTAGGAGTGGGGTGCGGGCTTGAGGAGCAGCAGGTCAAATAGTCACATTAATTATTCACCCATTTGGCAGCCTCGTTTCAAAAATTTGTGTTATTGTTATTATTACATGTCTTGGTCTGACAGATGCTAGTTGGCCCCAGCCAGGGGACGATTTTGCTGTTTCCATGGGAACAGTGGAGGAGATGGTTCTGTTTGTCTGGCTCACAGTACTGGCGCCGAGGACCACCCCTGCTGGGTAAGAGGCAACAGAAGGTCCCTAGACGAGCACCAGAGTTGAAGTCAGAAAATGCTGTTTGTACCCCAGCTCTTCTCCTCTAAGGCTGCCACCTGTAAAATGGGATGATGGTTGTCGGAAGAATGTCGCGTCCCTGTGTCTGCCTAGTGTTCAGAGCCACAGAAGAAACATTCAGTAACTTCTGCCTATTCCCTCGCACAATCAACACTTCTTGGAAGCCCCACTGAGCTCCATATCTGGGCAGAATTAGATACTTCCTCTCGGGCATCCACAGAAACAGAGATCAGTCTCTGGCACAGTGCTAACAACCTGAACTACACAACCCACTGTGTGTGTGTCCCCCACCAGATGGGAGGTCTTCGCAGGCAGAAGCCTTGCCTATCTCTCTTGCCTATCTACACACCCCCAGATCCTAGCCCAGCCACAGGCTCAGGAAGTGCTCAATAAATGCGGAATAACGGAATGAAACAAAAGGAACAGGTGAGCGGAAGAGTCATTTAGACCTGACAACACAATGCTTATTAGTTAATATTATTACTTGTGTGAAAAAGCCAAGTTTTCATTGAATTGGTGGTTTGAACCTCCAGGCGGGGCAATGTTACCTGATCATCTGGATTTGCACACACAATGGCATTTCTCTTGTAGGGCTGTGGAAGGACCAGCCCGTCAGGCACACCGGGGGCGCCTTGCCAGACCTGACTCACTCCAAGAGCTGAACTTCGCCAGTGGCTGCACCTTCCACCAAATCAGTGTCTCAAGACACCACACCAGCCACCAGAGTTGTGGGGCTTCGTCCCACGGTCCGAGATTTAGGATTCTCAGGCAGCTAATGTAGACACAACCTCCCTCCCCATCTCTGTTCATCAAACCGGAGAGCAGAAGTATAAACCACTGCTTTCAGTTTCTCAGGATGTCTTCAGAAGCCACGTGGACACTTCAGCCCCAAGCAAGAGTCCTTCCAGTCGCCGTGCTGAGACACCCTGCCCAGGAAGAGCCCCACTTGACTGTTTGCTCCAGAACTAGGACCCGGAGCCCTGCACCCCATCTTCCCACAACCTCCAGGCCTCTCCCGTGGAAGAGCAGAGAATGGATCTCTTCCGAGAGTTGAAAGCCAAGCTCTCCACATAGACCGCCGGGGGGGGCCTGACCCCCGCATTGCTGTGACAAAAGGGGTACCCCTGGTAAATGGGTCCAAGCCCCACCACAAAATGTGTTGGAAGAGCAAGAGGCATGGGCTTGCATCTCTCTCATTCCAAACTCCACGGGCCCCATGGGGAACATTAGGACAGTCCTCCAAGACCAGCTGTAAGGCTGACTCCTCAGCAGAGCCTTCCCTGCCCTGCTCCCCCCGGAGGCCCCTTCTTCTGAATCTCTCACTGAGCTGGGACTCTGTGTCATTGGATGTTGTCTCCCACGGTAAGTGTCGCCTACCACATCAGCAGTTCCAGTAAATACTTGAAAACATGAATCTGTTCCAATGTAATAGATACGTGAGGCAACAATTTGATCATAACACAGATTTTACATTTGTTGATGGTGCAGCACCATCCATGAGAAATACTCGGAAGTGCAGAAAACTTGTATCCAGCTGATCCAAACAGGAACATTCAAAGCAGGCACACCTCAAATATCGCCATGTGTGTGATGGGCCACAGCCCCCCACATCGGACGTCACAACTTCTGTCCAGTTTCAGATGACCCCCGCTATCACCTCTTCACAGGAACTCCCAAGCAGCAACTCTTCTGATGCCCATTTCCGCAAGCCCGTGTCCAGTAAAGTGCCGTGTGCTGTGATCTTCTGTATTTCTTAGCCATTTAGCGTGTGCCAAAGTATGCTAGCATTTCATTAGGTTCCCATCTGCTTTTATTTTCTGGATCACCGGTGACATTTTGGAGGGTTGTAAGCCTAACCCCCTTTTTGCCCATAAACCCTGTGGTTTCTATTGTGCCATTCTGCAAACAGTGGAGATTTCTAGGACATGTATATTGCAGACCTGTGTATTCAGTGAGCTGATGTAATCAAGTTTCAGGAAACACATCAGAGCACAGTAACGTGAGCTATCATCACCATCACCATCATCATCAGTGTCATCAACCCATGATTCATGGAGGCTGAGACCATGGCTTACAGGCCCTCAGGAGGGCTCAGGGTCTTGCAATTGCAGACCATTCTGTAGACATCAATTTGCTTGACAGGTCAACAGTCCCCTTTGGTCATTTGTAACTTAGCCTTCCAGAGAAGGCAATGGCAACCCACTCCAGTACTCTTGCCTGGAAAATCCCAAGGATGGAGGAGCCTGGTAGGCTGCAGTCCACGGGGTCGCACAGAGTCGGACACGACTGAAGTGACTTAGCAGCAGCAGCAGCAGCAACTTGGCCTTCAAGGACTTTAACATGCATCACCAGGGACAAATCAGTCATCCTCAGAGAGAAGACCCAAGAAGGAGACACCCCCTGCGGGTCTTGCAAGAGGAGAAGCTCAGGGCTGGGACCAGTCCTCCCCTGTCCTCTTCTGCCCAGCCACCAGGCCCCCAAGGCCCTGCCGTCTTACCTTTAAGAAGTCAAAGTGCTTCAGCATTTGGGCCACTTTCTCAGCGTTCCTTCCCTCATTGAGGAAATCCAACTCCAGAGGCAGGTTCTTCTTGGCTTCATCCACCAACCACATGAACTCAAACTCTGGAAACAGCTGCTTCACGGCCAGGACAAGCACCTGAAACCCACAAGCACCCCATCAGCCATGACTGATGACTCCCACCAAGGACGGTCTATTCCCAGTCCTCCTGCCTGGTCTGGGCGTTGACAAGTCCCCAGGCCTCCCCTGGAGTAAGGATGGGTGGGGAAGGGGCTCCCCTGGGGCCCATCTCTGTAATCCAAATCTTAGATCATAGAAGCCCAACAACCACCAGCAGAAACCACCTCTACCATTTGCTGGGTGCTCCCCATTTGCCCAGCACTGGGTAAGAGCTATTACTCACCTTATTCCTCCATTTAGGTCTTCACAGTGTCTCTGGGAAGTATACACACTTATCAGCCCCATATTACAGATGAAAAAAGTTGAGGGTCTCAGAGGTTATACGATTTTTACTAAATTTGCCCAGCAAGGAAGCCCAGAGCCAGATTTCCCCCTGGGTCTATTCGGCCCCGAAACCCTTACTCTTCACCACATCACTGAACTACCACCTTTGTTGATCCGAGATTTGTGCTTTGTGGTCCTGTCAATTAAGGGCCATGGAGGGGGCGGCGGCTGTAACTGCATTCTGCCTATTTCTTCAGCTGAGTGGTTGGTATCTGAGCATTTGTAACATCTTTTATGCTTTTTTGTACATCTAAAATATTTCATGATAAAAAATTATATTGGAATACGAAACCAAGAGTGGACACGACAAGAGGAGTAAGAGATAAGCGATTTGGCCACTTGGATGAAAAGCTTGGATTTCTGGCGATCTGGGCCCATTGTGGATTCTTGAGTCAGGACGTGATGAAAGAGGGAGTTTTAGAAGACTTATCTGGCATTTCAGTTGTCAGTTTAATGATGTGAAAGAAACATGACTGGCACAGAACAAGAGCCCAGAGATACCTGCAGGGTACAGCACAGCCCCTCTGTGGGCACGGACTCAGTTTTGAGGCTACACTGGAGCTCTGGGTTTGAGATGGTCTCACAAGTTCATGAACAATGGCTCTGTAGTGAGAAAGCGAGGGTAATGCCGGGGCCATGGGAAATGTTCCAGCACTGGGGGTGGGGTGGGGCAGAAGGCAACTTTTCCTGCTCTCCTATAAACCGTCCTGTTGGTATTCAAAGTCAGGCCTGGGGAGAACCACTTCCCATCTGTGATTCTTGATATAGACTATGGTCCAAGTCCTCTGAGAATCCCCATCTCTGGCCTTGGCCAGAGCAGAAGGACAAGGAGCGAGAACTGAAGAACCATGGGCCTATTGGTACCAGGAGGCCTTCCTCCGCTGTTAAGGAAATGTAATGCTTATGTAGCCCCCCAAATTCATATGTCAAGCCCTAACTTCAGGGAGACAGTGTTCGGAGGTGCAGTTTTTGGAAAGTAATTGGGCCTAGAAGAGACCATGAAGGTGAGGTCCCGGTGACAGGTCAGTGTCCTTATAAGAAGAGAAAGACCGAAGCTCCCCGCTTCTCTGCCAGGTAAGGACACAGAGAGAAGGCAGCCATCTGTCTACAAGCCAGGAAGAGGCTCCCACTGGGAACGGAATCAACCAGCATCTTGAGCTTGGACTTCCCAGCCTCCAGAACTGGGAGAAATAAGTGTCTGTGGTTTAAGCCTCCCAATTGATGGTATTTTGTTGCAGCAGTCGAAGCTAACCAAAACACCACCCACTCCACCCAGGCCTTGCTGGGTCCCAGAAACAAGCCTTATCTCCTGCTGCTGTTTGCCCTGGTCTGTGATATGATTCCAACACTGTATTAGGCACACACAGTGCAGCGAAATAAATCCAGAGCAGGGCCATTAACTACAAGGCATTTACAGCTTTGTTTTTAAATCCTATGTCCAAGGCAATGTACCAGATGCCATTCTAAAAGAATCATCACACGGGGTTATTATACTCAATTTCTCCCAAACCCTCTTTAATTACATTTGGCTGCAGTCTAATTTCTTTTAGGGCTTGTCTAGTCTTTCATGGGCTAGACCTGTGACCTTATGATAATCGATTTAGTTTATGTTTTGTTTCTGTTGGTGTCACACGAAACAAGAAGGGAGAGGTGGCAAGAATAAGGGCCTGACTGTGTCAGATCCGGGCACCGTGTCTCGTCACCGTGCCCTCAGATGGCTCCTGGCTGCCACCCGAGGGGAAGCAGAGCTGGTGCACAGGAAACAGAAGCACCTGCCCGGCCCAGGCCGAGCTGTCATCTGAGGCACCTGAATTCTAGTCTCTGGGCTCCGAGTTTCAAGCAAGAAGCAAGCCTCTTATGTGTTTTGCATGCTGCATGCTAAGTCGCTCCGGTCGTGTCCGACTCTTTGCAACGCCATGGACTGTAGCCTGCCAGGTGCCTCTGTCCATGGGGATTCTCCAGGCAAGAATACTGGAGTGGGTTGCCATGGCCTCCTCCAGGGGATCTTTACAACCCAGGGATCGAACCCGGGTCTCTTATGTCTTGCATGGGCAGGTGGGTTCTTAACCACGAGCGCCATCTGGGAAGCCCTCGTGTGTTTTACTCCAGCCCAGGTTCCAGACCTTTTCACCCAGGAGGGACGAGGAAGGAGCCACAATGAGTCTTACTCATCTTTTTCAGCCAAAATGTATTTACTGATTACCTTCTAGATAATGACCCTGGACCAGCCATAGATATACACAGAGACCCACATGTAGCCAGGTGGGGTCTATATCAGGCGATGAGGCTTCTGTGGCCACACACTACCTCCTCATCGTCGACTGTCTGGTCACTGTCATTTGTGAAATTTTAAATTATCGTTAATATCCAAACAGCCCTGAAAGGCACCTTAAAGATTTTTCTGTTACCAATCAATTATGTGATTATTTCTTACTAATACTATTGGTTATTATTAATACTTTATATCATTAATCATAAAAGCAGTCAAAGATTTTATTGGTTGATATTAATTGCTAATAAGTTAGTAAACTAATTCATAACCCCTGGGACTTTGCAGGACCTATAAAACTGGTTTCCAAACCATTCTTGGTGGTTGGCAAGTCATTCCCTTGCTTACTTTAAAACGAGAGGGTCTGTGTGGATGGAAGTTAGTGGTTCATAGTTTTAGAGGACACCATCCCCTTTATAGGAAGTCACCAATTTGAAAATGTGATGCCAGCAATGAAGTCCAGAAAACGCACATACTCCCATAATTTTGTACATAATTTGGGGGTTTATCACCCCTTGAACTTCAAAGGGAGGGTGAGGTCAGGTTAATAGGCATCCGGGCCGAAGAAAAAGTGTCATCTGACCCAAATCTAAACCAGTTTGGGCTGCTGGCACTTTGGACTTTTCTGGACTTAGGAAAAGAAAACGGAATTCCATTTCTCCCTCTGTTTTAATTCAGTTCCCTTCTGAAGAGCCTGCCCCAAGTAGATTCTTCTAAGTTTTTCTTTCTTGACAACAGATGCAATCAACTAAAATAAAACAGGTGTTGTTATCAATTTGACTTTTTGATTTTTCTCCCAAATTCATCTTCTCCATAAAATTCTTCCAACTGCCAGTGTTTTCACCAGTGCCTAGCACGTATTCAACACTCAGCAGATGTTTACTGAATATTCACATGAATGAATGAGTGAATAAATGAACATTCCAAAAGGTCTGCCTTCTCCCCAGAAATAGTTATATGCTCACATGTGCATTACGCAAATGGATTACATCTGTATGCCTTGGAGATTTGGGTGGAAGGGATTACCTCTGAATGTAGGGGAACCACAGTTTTGAAATGCCTGAGAATATTCTACTTGACTTGAAGCCTTGTTGATCAATCAGGGTATATTCAACAATTAATAGTTCCTTCAAGGGAGAATAATGAAATCATTTTCCTATAGGACTATTGGCTCCCAGGAAGAAAACTCAATTATGGACCACGCACAAACATAATGGAAAAATTGAGAGTCACATAAAAGTTTGAAAATTAGTGATTGCTACATATGATAGCAAAAAAATGGGAATTATCATTATTCAGACATAAGCGCTGCACTATGAGACACTTGATATACATGCTCTCATTCTTTCTCTTCTTGCCCATTTCACAGAGAAGGAAATTGGATCCAAGAGGTTAAAGCATTTCTCAAGGTCACATAGCTTGCAATTTCAAATGCAGGACTCGGACCCACTTTTTTTTTTTCGTTTCACTTCTTTCTTTACTCAGTCCTGTCTCAAGCAATATAATATAGGACAATACAATAGAGAGCCTGAGATAAAGCATAAAAGGAGCTTTGTAAACTGTAAAATGCCACTGAAATTCGAGTTACTGCTATCAACTTATTATATATTATAAAAGAAATAATGGTCTACAGGAAAACAGGACGCTAAACAGAACACCTGCACAGATCCGAACTGGTAAAAATGGATGTTTGACAAGGATCGAAAATCAATTCAGAGTGATGTAAATAGCTTACCATTCATGGAGTTTATCTTTGTTCAGATAAGTTATTAAAGTGCATACTGTTTAGAAAACAGAATTACAGGGTGAAGAGAAGTTTCCAAGGGATGATCTACATCTCTGGGGCTTTCAAAAATGTATTTAAAAAAAACAAAATCAGCTGTTGGATTCTGTGCCAACACAAACATTACCTAGCCACCCACTGTTCAATCAACACACTCAGAAAAGAAACAAGATGACAGCACGCACTGAAAATGTTGTTCAAAAAAAATCAAAAACATAACTGTCACAGGTCTTTATTTTTAGAGACCCTGGGTATGAGCCGGAGGCCATCAAATGGTGGATGGGTTTCTGGTGCTCAGATCTGAGCATCCTGCCCTAATGTTGCAGACCTTGGGGACAGGTGATACACGAAGGACCTGGTCAGGAGTTAGATTCTTTAGGATACAGCACGAGGCATTCATTATCAAGTTCAGAAGCTTGAGAGATAACAGGGTGTGATACAGGGTAGTGCTCTCGAAACCTCTCTTAACACTGCCTCACAGGTCAACTGAGTCCTACCCTATTCTCAGACAGGAGAGTGGCAGTGATTCCCAGCCTGCTAAGTAAGCTCCCTGCTCTCGTGGGCAGGCAAGGACTGCTGCAA